TCGAAAAGAAATGAAGGTTTTTGATGAAAACATTCCAGGATTTTTCTCCATATAATGGACTTCAATGGGAACCAAACGGTTCAAGGTCCAAAAGACAGTTTCACTGCAAACTGCAAACTGTTCAAAGGGCTTTAAACGATTCCAGACGATGAATAAGGGTCTTATCAAGCGAAACGATCACTCATTTAAAAAGAAAATAACAAAGTTTAAGTTTTATAAGCTCAATGCTCGCCTTGCTCTGTTCTGTGATGAGCGTTCGTGACTCTCCTGTTCGAACTAGTTCATCAAAATGAACAAATCTTTTTCCAAGTCAATTTCTTCATTTCGTTCGTCGAATGAACCAAATGACTAAATTTGTGCCCTTATGTCTTGCAAAACAGTTTTAAATCCTGCATTAATTTTTCATATAGTATTTTCATACAAGGTTATATATTAATTTTGAGAAGAAAAAAAAAAAACACTGCAATATGCCCTTTAATATATTTTGCAGTGCTGAAATGATGTGACCCGCAAGAATTTTATAACTGAGAAAAAATATATTTATAACTGAGACAATCATCTCTAAAACTCACTAATATGAGTGCGATTTATCTCAAACTCAGAGCCGATCGTGCTGATCCACGTCCACGGATGGCAGTGCAGCATCTAACACCATTGTGGTTTCTACACTTAAAGGATTAGTTCACTTTTGAAAAAACTTTTGCTGATAATTTACTCACCCCCATGTCATCCAAGATGTCCATGTCTTTCTTTCTTCAGTCGAAAAGAAATTAAGGTTTTTGATGAAAACATTCCAGGATTTTTCTCCATATAATGGACTTCAATGGGAACCGGATGGTTCAAGGTCCAACCGACAGTTAATAACAGTTTCAGTGCAGCTTCAAATGTCTTTAAACGACACCAGACGATGAATAAGGGTCTTATCATGCGAAACGATCGGTTATTTCAAAGCTTATTCCAAAAATGTAACTTTTCTAAGGACAAATGCTAGCCTTGCTCTATTCTGTGAGGCGCGTTTGCAACGTCACGTATTACGTAATTACGTTCAAAAGGTCACGGGTGACGTAGCCGAAAGTACAGAGTCAGTGTTTACAAGTTGAACGCATAGGTTGAACGTGCAAACTAGCTCAAACGCCGTTTACAAAAAAAGGAATTAAAAGGGAAAACAACGATGTCGGACGATTTTGATTCTGTACTTCCGGCTACGTCGCCCGTGACCTTTTGAACGTAATTACGTATTACGTGACGTTACAAACGCGCCTCAGAGAATAGAGCAAGGCTAGCATTTGTCCTTAGAAAAGTTACATTTTTGGAATAAGCTTTGAAATAACCGATCGTTTCGCATGATAAGACCCTTATTCATCGTCTGGTGTCGTTTAAAGACATTTGAAGCTGCACTGAAACTGTTATTAACTGTCGTTTGGACCTTGAACCATCCGGTTCCCATTGAAGTCCATTATATGGAGAAAAATCCTGGAATGTTTTCATCAAAAACCTAAATTTCTTGTCGACTGAGGAAAGAAAGACATGGACATCTTGGATGACATGGGGGTGAGTAAATTATCAGCAAAAGTTTTTTCAAAAGTGAACTAATCCTTTAAAGTACACAAAAGAAGTGTGCTAGCGAAACAACTTTAAATGAATGTTTTACACAACATAAAAACAAAATTCAATTGTCTTCTTTGAAAGTTGAAAGTGTTTTGAAAATTGCATACGTCTAGAATCTTTACATAGTGCAAAAACAGTATGTCAGCTTCATTTTCATGCTCCTAAGATTCAATATGGTGTCTACCCTGACTAAGGTTTTGCTAATATGCCAGCTGGCATTCGCTCCACACAGTGCATTTCTTCCATTGCTGCTTTATATTGGCTGAAATTCCTTCCACTCTAATGAGTCACTTTAGTTGGCATGATATAATGAAGGATAGCAGCACCGGGACATGAGGAGTTACTTCATAAACAAACCTTCAGTCATATTTGCTCAGGCTAATGTCGTAACGAAACACTCAAACACGTTGAATGCAGAAAGGTGGAAGTTTTCTCCATACTTTAGAAAACCAGCACATGTCACAGCACTGAGGTGACTTTTTAACACAGGGTCTGTCTCTCATTAGTGTCGCTGCAGCTAACCCACAATCCCTCTCACCCTTCCTTCATCTCTCAGTCCTTCGTTCTCTCCCTCCGTCTCTCTCACAGCCTGGAGCCGTGCCTCAGGAAAAGCCATAATCCCTCAGGCCAATAGAAGACAGATGCGTCCCTCGCTCTCTCAGTCTTTGTGTTTTGCTTTCTCTGCTTATCTCTCAGTCTGACACATACACATTAACACACACCCCGAGTGTCGATTCCCCACACACCCCGCTCTACAGATCTGATCCTGCCTGGGTTTCCAAGCCTTTGTGGTTCCACCTTCCTCCATCAGTCCCGATGTAGAAATGAGGCCCTGTGAAAGAGGATTTGGATGGTGGCATCTGGAGAGCATGTGTGTGTCAGGAGATGAGCTGACCCGATGCTGGACGAGGGATTCCACTGGGGACCGTCGGGAATGTTAAAGGGATACTTCAGGGTTTAGCATTAAGCTTTGTATTAGTAGAAAACCTGTAGTATTTTCGAATTACCATGCTCATATTCCCCTGAGACGAGAGATTTAGGTATTTTTTTGTCTGGAAAACATCCTCCGATGACGCAAAAATCGCCATTTTGCGTCATCTGAGGATTTTTTGGCAAGAAGCTAAACATGGTCTGTCCTGCATGTTCTCATCCAGCCCATAGAGGGCGATCTCACTCACAGAATGAACACATAATGTCGGCCATCTTTTTGGAAGCTAAGCTAGCAGGCTCTTGTTCTGTGGAGAAAGCTGAGTAGTAGGGGTTACCATTCTCTTTTTCCCGGACATGTCCGGCTGTCGATGTCCGGGATTCAGCTTTTGCTTTCTGCAGTCGCCGTTCATTGTTTACATGCACAGCTTTTGTTTCAATCTAACTGAATTCATTGCGATTGGTGAATCTGAATGTAGTGTTTACATGAACGCTAAACAAGTGATCGGTTGATGTGCGTTTTAACATTGCTAAGAAAATCCCCGCTCCTCCGTGAGAGATACGAGACTGGTGGGTTTCACAGGTGTCGCTCATCGGTAATCACGCCACCGGCCTCGCGTCGTTCTCCCGCGGCCCTCACTCGTCCCGTTCGCCACAGGAAACATAATGAATGCCGACTGTAGAACGCAAAAGCCAAATCCTGGACATTTTGGGCGATCTCGAAACACATTTTCAGGCAGACTCATCACGGAGACTCACTAGTAGCCTAGACTTGTTGTTTAACTACTGCGCTCTGTTACCGGTAGGCGTGGCCTCCTAGGGTAGTGAAGCAAGTGCATTCTGGGAGTTGTTGTCTTTCATCCACATAAGCCAAAAATACATTTTCTGGCTTTTCTCAGTCTAGAAAGCTCCAATTTCAAAAATAATTTCACATTTCTTCAACATAAATGACCCATTTTAAAATACACATTCATCTTTCCAGAGGTGAAGTTTCCCTTTAAGGCTTCTGCTCCTCTCGTCTGTCTGTGCTGAGGGTCAGTTTCCTGAACCAGACTTTTGAATAATGGCATGAGGTCTAGTTCACTTATTCTTGTCAAGAACTTCCCACTTAGACAGGAAAAGACCATCTGACAGACATTTAAACTGTGACCAGTCACTGTTAAATGCCTTTAAAATACATAGACTAACCAGCGACTTTATTACATTTAGCTGACGCTTTTATCCAAAGCGACTTACAATTGCTATATATGTCAGAGGTCGCACTCCTCTGGAGCAACTAGGGGTTAAGTGTCTTGCTCAGGGACACATTGGTGTCTCACAGTGGATTCAAACCCAGATCTCTCACACCAAAGGCATGTGTCTTATCCACTGCGCCATTACCACTTTTTTGTCGTTCTTGTCTTCAGAACTGTCTTAATTTGTGTAGCATTGATTCAGAAGGTGCTGGAAACATTCCTCAGAGACTTTGGTCCATATTGCCATGATCTCATCACACAGTTGCTGCAGATTTGTCAGATCTGAACATCTATGATGTGAATCTCCTGTTCCTCCACATCCCAAAGCTGCTCTAGTGGATCGAGTGCCTTTATCCGTTTGAGTGAAGTGAACATGTTCAAGAAACCAGTCTGAGATGATTTGAGCTTTGTGACATGGAGCGTTATCCAGCTGGAAGTCATCAGAAGACTGTACACTGAGGTTATATAGAGATAGACATGATCAGCAACAATACTCAGGTGGGCTGTGGTGTTTAAACGAAGCTTCATTGGTACTCAGGAGCCCAACGTGTGCCAAAATACCATTACACCACCAGCCACAGCCTGAACCGCTGATACAAGGCAGGACGGATTCATGCTTTCATGTAGTTTATGCCAAATTCTGACCCGACCATCTGAATCCTGCTGCAGAAATCAAGACTCAACATTTTTCCAATCGTCAATTGTCCAATTTTGGTGAGCCTGTGTGAACTGTAGCCTCAGTTTGCCGTTCTTCGCTGACTGGAGTGTGTGTCTTCTGTGACACAAAATAGTTTTCAATGTTGAAAACCATTTTACTGCTTAATACTTTTGTAGAAACTGCTTTTTTTTTTTAGATTCTTCGATGAATAGAAAGATAAAAACACCAAACAAAACAGCATTTATCAGAAATAGAAACATAATAGATGTCTTTATTGTCTCGTTTGATTGTTTAATGTATCCTTGCTAAATATATGTAATCATTTCTTTTAAAAATAAATTCATAAAATCTTACTGTACTTACATTTTTGAACAGTAGCATAGAGATTCAAATACTGCAGAGATATTGAGAAATATTTCAAATGTGTTTTTAAAAACTGTATGCTACAATTACTTTAATATTGTTCCCCTTGTGATCCATTTATGTTATAACAAATCTGTTCTATGCCCTAAAGTTCATATTTCAGTCTGACTCTGAATATATTAGCGCACATAAAAATGACCAAGACACAGTTTCCAGTCACACGACTTTAATTTTTCCATATAAAAATATCACTCTCATATACAACACAACCATAAGACTCGTAAGAAAGCATGTACATGTACATCTCAGTGCTTTCACTGAAAGCAGAAACCTCTCCAACTCCTTCACCTGTCAAGTAACAGATCGACATTTCCTTGGGAAACTTTATCACACCACAAGGGGATTGGCTGACTAACCGCCGTCAATTGACCTCTCAAATGGGTCATTGCATTCTGCCATTGAAACTAATATTCAATTTCAAAACAGAACATGAAAAGCTTAAATGACAAGAACAAAGAAAAATAGAAATGATTGATTTGTTGCTTAATTTAATCTGTTTCGGAAAACATCTATCTTGATTCAATTTAAAAGAGGCGTTTGCATTCGTCAAACCAATAAATTACTTGTTTAGACTGGTCTAGGCGAACACTCGGACTTCGATTGTCGGAAGAATTTGTTTTACAAGAGCAAATATTTGAACAGATCTAAACTCAAAGAAAATGCTTTTAAAAGCTCAACAAATAAACCCTGATTCGCATGGAAGACAAAGTGCTGGATATCAGAGCAAATAAAGGAGGATTACGTGTGAGCAAAGACAGAAAGAGAAAGAATGACAGATGGAGAGGAAGAAATACTGTACCAACATATGTTGCTGGGACAAGCACAAACAGCCTCTCTGAATCTCTGCTAGATACACACACACATTCACAGTCCAATCCCAGGTTCAGAGAGGCAGTATTGCACACAGCTGACCTCCACCTGAAGGAGTCTGTCTCTGCTGTCCTCCTCGAGTCCTGAGGCGATCAGAAGATCCTGACTCAGCTCTCCGCGGCTCCCAGGCGGATGTACGAGAGTTTCCCCGGAGCCGCGCTCAGGCTGGACGCTCCGGTTTTGAAGAGCACAAGCTGATGACCTGCAGAGAACGAAACTGTGTGTGTGAGAGAATGGACATTTCCTGCTAGAACAGCAGACGGAAGACCGGATGAATGGGACGTGAGGAACAGGACATGGGAGGAAGAGAAACGTGAGAGTGCTGTGGATCTACGCCAGAGGTGCGGTCACATTTCCCATTGTTCGGCGGATTTTTGTGTCATTTCAATAGGAAACATCATGATTGGGAATTTCACATGATGACATAAGATCTGCTCACTGATTTCACAACGGGTTCAAGTTAATTACACTGATTGATGCTGCGTTGACCATCACTGCGCTATTGAGAGTTTTGCCTGCAAAAATTTCGCTAATGTGACTCCACTTTAATACCATGTAATATAGCCGGATCCAACCAAGTGTTGGATCATTTTAAGCCAAAATCAAAAACAAGAGGGAATAATTTTGACAAATGAAAACTCAATATCTGATTTCTTTTAGACAGTAATGAGTTTAAAGGTACAATATGCAGGATTTTTGCAGTAAAATATCCAAACACCACTAGGCCAATATTATATATTTTGTTTAGTTGATTACTTACAATATCCAAAATGTTTCCAACTATTTGTAAATCGTGAGAAAATTCCGATTTTTAACCCTCTGGGGTTGTTCGTTTCAGAGTCACACTCGGGGTGTTCGGGTCCAAATGGACCCAAAGGGCGGGATTCATATTTAGAAAAAAAAAATCATGATTTTTTTTTTTACTCGTTTTTAATAATATTTTTTTGTGTGTGTTTTGAGAAAAAAAAAAAAAAATATATATATATATATATATATATATATATAATTAGTATTAATGCAATAATTATGACAAAATTTCCCCCCATTGAACATAATAGAAAAAATATTGAAAAAAAATATATTTTTTATTTTTTTTAAAGCTGTATTTCATTTTAGAGTCAAGCCTAGGCCTCATAAAAGCAATTTTTGAAATGAGATGGATGCCATCTGGTGGACAAACTGAGCATTTTAAAAATGCAAAACACAAAAAAAAGAAAAAACAAATTTTTGGTGTGTTTGTGTATAAAAGTGTGTTTGTGTGTGTGTGTGTGTGTGTGTGTGTCTGGATGTGTCCGTTTTGCACTCTTGATGTTTTATAGATTCACCCCTTCACTGTTGTGTGCTTTTTTTCAAGATCATGGCTGATTTGTAGATTGTACGCACAAAAAAGCTCAGTATTTTCACATTTTTGCCAATTTCCCATTCATTTTCTATGCGGGTCCATTTGGACCCAAACACCCAAGTGTGCCTATTTTTTTTACAATCACTTAGACCCCATTTACACCTGGTATTAAAAAGCGTTAAAATGCGTTAATGCGTAAGATAAGTTATCCGGATGATAAAAAACGCATGTTAATGCAAGGTGTAAACGCGTTGTGATCGGATCGCGATCGGATCTGTTTGACCACATCTGCAGGTAGTCTGGCTCGCATTGTGTCCGGATCTTTACTAGGTGTAAACGCAATCTGGTTGTTGAAACCACATATGTATATTTTACTCCCCCCAAAAAGGCAAAAAAATAAACGAGTGAGCTTGTTATATAGGCTATATGTCATGTTATAGTCAGATATGACGCCGCTACTGCGACACGGATCACCCATCACCGCAGATGAGCAGCTGAGCGTCTATTCATCGAGCCAACGTGCAAACATCGCAAATAAAAGTGAAAGTAAGTCACAGACGCTTAACACACAATCATCTTCAAGTAAAGAAACGAAATTATCTTACCAGCGGTGTTGCCACTCTTTTATTGATGTCTCTGATTTGGAAATTAGCTGATGATCAACGAAATGCAGCTCAAATCTGTTGCTTTTGGTGGCGTTCAATCCATTAAATCTGCATATAACGCGGGAGTTTAAGATCGGATTTATATCCGTTTTGCAAAAACACATTTATGTGGCCAGGTGTAAATGGAATCGGTACTTATTATCCGGATAACTTATCTGGATACAGATCGCATTTTAATACCAGGTGTAAATGGGGTCTTAGACTATTCACATCCCGTCCCCAATTTTTTCGGGTGTCCAAATACCAAATACCAACAAAGTCACCAAATTTCGGACCATTCCGAGGAAGCTGTGATTTAAAAAAAAAATAAAAAATATTTAAATTCCATTCCTGTCCATTTGGGCCGAACAACCCCAGAGGGTTAACCAAGGAAACGGGGCGTGTGAGCAGAGGTGAGGAGTCGCCAGTCAATGACGTCATTTCCGCGTTACTCCCGGTTTCCGCCAGGTTTGACCTCGTACTGCAATAGTAACCATGGCGACAGACGTGGACAACTGGATCGGTTATGCCCGTTATGCGTGCTCAACAGCGTGAGCGTCCCTACCAGGGTTTTGTTCAAACATTATGGAGTATGGCAAGCAGACTTTGAGACAAAAAGAGGACTAAAAACGAAGTTCACCACGTCCGCGACTAACTTCGAGTTGGCTGAGACGTGAGAGTTGTTACAGGTGAGCAAATCAATGTATATAAAACTAATCAATGTTATATAGTTCAACATGCTGACAAGTTAGAATATGATCTGTATGTTAATCTCTAATGTTAATCTAGCTTAGTCTCATACAGCCAACAAACAACCAAACTAACAACATTCAACACACAAATGCAGTTTAGTGTGATAGTGAAACTGGTAGAGCAAGTGAAGCAGCGCTGCGTTACCTCAAGTTTAATTCTTCTAATAAACTGACCTGTGTGATTAATTCAGCGTGTAGTTCAGCAGAATTAAATGTCCTAATTCCTTTATATCCGCGGGACTCGCGTTGCGTGTGACGCTGGTATACGTCTAGCAATCGCGCCCTGCTTCACACTACGTTCAAGTTTAAAAACCTCACTGTATTCACTCATCCATAAAAGATCCAACAGCTTGACGCGGAATATACCTCATTAATATACGCCTTTGTTATTGTAAGAGGTTAGCGACCCCTGGTGGCGAAACAATCTTGCATATTGTACCTTTAAAAGGAGAACCTCCTTCAGATTGTTTAAAGTCGACATTTCTGTGATTAAAGTCGAGTCGACCTCGAGCTGAGACTGAACGCGGGTTGCCTGACACAGTGCTGCCCACAAGGCTATTGCTCCTACATAACAGCTTATTTTGATCAGTTCTTGTGTCTTTGGGTCATTATCTTTCTCTTAGATTTCTGCTCGTTAGTAAGTAAAGATTACATTTATATGAATGCATTAGTGAGAGACCATTTGCGTGTGAACTAAGTCTCTCTAATAGTGTAGCTGTGGGTTTTTGTTACTAAGAAATATATGCTAAAACCTCTCAGTTTCTAAGCTATTTCATTCATTAATCACAGAACAGTGTTGACAATACACTTCTGTGCTATTGAATGTTTCTGTGTGTATGAATTACTGTCTGTATTACAAAGCAGCAGCGCATTAGTTGAGCTTTTAGATTAGCTTGCATATACAATAAGCTGATTAAAGGGTTAGTTCACCCAAAAATGAAAATTCTGTCAGTATTTACTCACTCCCATGCTGCCCCAACCCCGTAAGACCTTCGATCATCTTCGGCACACGAATTAAGATATTTTTCTATTCAATTTGAGAAGCGGATCACTGCTACATAGGCTGCCTAAGGGATTGAAACTTGACGGCCCAGAAAGTCAATGAAGAAAATGTTTAAATATACCATGTGACGACAGTGACCCAAGTATAAGTTTATCAAGCGACGAGAATACTTTTTGTGCGAAAAAAACAACAAAAATAATGACTTTATTCGACTACTCCTTTTCTTCCTTGTAGGCCTGAGACGAGAGTTCAAGTGCGAGAACTGAACTGAAGTAGTTTGAAGCAGATCGCCGTTCTCGCGCATGCGTCGTGGAAAGGCCCAGAAGGAAAAAAAAGGAATAGTCAAATAAAGTCATTGTTTTTGTTTTGTTTTTTTCGCTCAAAAAGTATTCTCGTCGCTTGATAAACTTATAGTTGAGCCAAAAAAACATTTTCTTCAATAACTTTCTGGGCCGTCAAGTTTCAATCCTTTAGGAGCCTATGTAGCAGTGATCCACTTCTCAAGTTTAATAAAAAAAAATCTTCATTTGTGTTCTGAAGATGAACGAAGGTCTTACGGGGTTGGTACAGCATGGGGGTGAGTAATTAATGACTTTTCATTTTTGGGTGAACTATCCCTTTAAGTGCTTCCGAGTTGCAAAAATGAGCTGGTTAGTGGGTATGAATGTACTAAGCTGAGCTACACATAATTAAACAGTGCGACAATTGGCAACTTCACCTGTCCACGTGCTCTGGTTGGTCAAGACGAAGGCCCGGCACTGAACGTGGCTCTCGCACATGTCGACAGCTTCATGAACGCTGAAGACTGACAGCAGGCATCCGTCGTGCTGATAGGACGGCCAGCAGCGGTAGTTCTCTGCTGCTATCGAGGCGTCTAACACACGCTTATACTCTGAAAAAAAGAGAGAAAGTCATGTAAAAATGCTATTCTTCAAAATACTGCTTATACATATTTGTTATTTATGGGAAATGGCCAGATAGTAAACCACTTAATTGAATTGAATTGAATTTTTTATTTAAATATTTATTTATTTATTTTATTATTTTTTTAATTTTTTTTAATTTTAATTAAATTGTATTTATTTATTTATTTTAAACAATATTTATTTATTTAAATTTATTTATTTTATTAATATTTATATTTCTTTTAATTTAATGTTATGTATTTTTAATTTTTATTTATTTATTTTTACATTTATTTATTTTATTTTATTCAATTTAATTTAATTAATTTTTAAAAAATTATTTATTGTTTTCTTATTTATTTTTATTTTATTTTTTATTTTATTTTATTTTCTGAATGTCACTCGTAAGAAAGTAAATCTTTCATGTTCAATGGTTTCTGGCCACAATCTGACAACCCCCATGACAGCACTGACACACACTGCTCAATGAATCAAACACATTACAACTGTCCAAGAAAAGCATAGTGTGTGTATGTGCGTGTGCGAACACAAGCTCCTTTATTGAGTTAACACAGAGGCTGTCTTGTTCTTTGACGGAGAAAGTCTTCAGGCTGTCGTTAGTCAGAGTTTGACATGTGTCTTTTGATTTCTTCTTTATGTATTACTTCCTCCAGAACTTCATTCACACACATTTCCAACACCACTCAACGTGACCCCGAGCACAATACATGCGGACAGTCACAGTCAGAGGAAAGCCAAGAGAAAGAGGGATGCTGATAAAAAGAGAAAACGGCTGATCAATAGAGAGAGACGTGAGGAGTGACGGCCAAAAGAAAATGAAACACACGCTGTCCCTCCCTCCCACACATTCATCTCGTTCTGTCGCTTATCTCTGCACTGCCTGTCAACTCTTCAACACTGCAGTCCATCACTGCTGAGATAAAGAAACCAAAGCCATGCTTCTAAACCTCACACTGTGTTAATGTTCACACAAACATCTGGACAATACAGCAATGTCCTTATGACATTACCAGGTGAAAACTTGGAAACACTAGTTTAGGGTCCAATTCTCACTATTATAACTTATTATTATCATGCATACTAGGATATTGGCAGTTTATCACTTATAAATCACATATTAATGCCTTATTCTGCATGAACTTAACAATGACCTTACCAACTATTAATAAGCAGTAATTTGGAGTTTAGAGGCAAAGTTTATAGTTAAGTTAGTTAATAGTAAGAATTGGACACTAAACTATCATTTACATGATCAAAATCTCATTCTCGTCATTACCGTAATGTAATGATTAATGGTAACACTTATGATTTTTTTTTTGTTGTAATTCCTATTATTTTTGATATTGATTTTCTAATATGGTATCTTATTTTACAATAATTCAATTATTTTAGTTGTATTTAAATCAGCATAAATGCAATAAAACACAGCAAAGACCATAAACAATGATGTATACATTTACATTTTAAATTTTAATTAAATGTATATAATATAAAAATAAATAATATTACAATATTTTATTATATTAATATTACTAATATTATAATTAATATATTATAACATTATAATCCTACTAATAATGTTAATATATCAATAATAATAATATATATATATTATTGATATATAATGTATTGATATATATATATATGTGTATATATGTATTATTATATTGAATATATAATAGAATATATATTCTATTATTATTGTATTAATATTATTAATACAATAAAATTACATATGGAAGCATATTGCATTCAGTTGAAGATAAAAAAAATCTACTCTGTTTTTCTGAATTAAGGAGTTAGTTATCTCAGAATTACAAGATCATTTTTCATGGAAAAAATGTTTTGCTCTGTTTTTCTGAATTAATGACTTTTGAAAACTCAGAAAAAATGATCTTGTAATTCTGAGATAATTAACATGTTAATTCAGAAAAACAGAGTAGATTTTGTTTCCTCAAGTGAATGCAATACGCTTCCATACATACACATCCCTGTGACTCTACAAATAATCATTTTGAAATATGAATTGATAATATAACATGTACTTATTAAAAAATAAATAGAACATAATTATTACAGTATATTATTATCATAGTATTACTGTAATACAATAACAATATATGTTAGGTTACTGTAATGAGAATTAGAGGGGATAATTGTGATTAATAATTGTAAATCTCTCATTTTTCACAATGTTTTGAGTGCAACCTCCTACCACAATAATAATTGTCAATGAACATTAAACATGTTAAACATGTATGATTGCTGCATTACAATCATAACCAATACACTCTAAAAAATGCTGGGTTGTTTCATTCCAAATTTGGGTCAAATATAGACAAACCCAAATGTTGGGTTAAAAATGCAATTAAAAAATGTACAGTTGAAAGTGAAAGTTGAAAGTTGGGTTGAAATTTGAAATGACATTTTTAACCCAACATTTGGGTTTGTCCATATTTGACCCAAATTTGGGTAAAAGCAACCCAGCATTGTTTAGAGTGTAGGAACAATAGGAATTAGATGGATGAATGAGATATCACAGCGGATGGGGTTATAAGAGACCACGGCTGGTTATGAAACAGTACGATAATACAGTAACGTGTAAGTTGAGACGTGGAGAGTAACTAATGAGAACAGAACACTGTAACGCTGCCAACATTCACCGATGTGTGTTTTTACTCATAAAAATGTGCAGCTGTCTGTTTCTCGTCTCGGTCATGTTGTATCAAGTCAACATTACAAGACGTGATTCACATTAACACAACATACTGTTTGTAATACAGAACGCATGACATTACATTAGTGAACAGGGGCAGCTGTTCTCTCTCAGATGAGAGGAAGAATATATGTAGCTGTCCGTATGAATTCAACAGCTGCGACGAGCTCAATTTGGGGAAAACGGGCGCGTAGCAACAATCTGAAAAATGTGTGTGTGTGGATGAGGCACATTTACAGTAAAATGAATATTAATAACATGATGTCCCGTTTGGCTTTAACCCTTGTGCTGCATTAGATTTTTAACACCGTTGAGTGCATTAAGGACCAAAAATGGCCACATATTAAACATTGCCTAAAATATTATATATTATTATTATTTTCCACTTTTACCAAGTTAAATCTTTTAACCAGCATCAGTCCTCATCATAACTACCAAAAATGTATTCAATTTCAGGATTTTAACCCTTTAATTACCAGTTTTGTTTGCGAAACCATCGATTTGTATAAGAGGAAAAAACACAAAAATTCAATTATTTTCAATAAACTAAATGCAAAGAGAAAACTTTAGATTTGGATTATCACAGTCCCACTTAGAGACCAAAAATGGCCACCTATTAAACATTGCCTATTGCCTAAAATAAGGTGCATTTCCACCCATAGGGAATAAATATGTAGTGACGTCATCTGGTGGAATACACTATATAATGCAAATATAATGCTTTTGCTTCAAAATGAAAGGATGTTTGTGCAAAAATCATGTTTCATGTATTACTGACAGCCTCAGATTTAAACAACGTTTTAATGGGTTTCAATGGGCCATTTTTGGTCTTTATGGTGCTGAGTGTTACTATTTGATCTACACAGTGTGTGTTATACATATTTTGCAAAATGGGATCACATTTTTTACATGTATCCAAAAAGTCACAATTTTGCCAAATTTCATACCATTTGCATTAAAACAGCCAAAATGGTCAAAGAAATTAAACTGCAAAAGACCCAAAATGTCCCTAATGCAGCATAAGGGTTAACTGATTTACCGAAAAGGCAAACAGACACTAACATCGACCCGGCTGACAGAGAACATCTGGCAAACTTTCTTCTAAAAACACAAGATATCAAAATAAGCACAAAAAAACATCAGTGATATATCTAGGGCTGTGAAACATCTTTTGCATATAAAAATACACACACATGCATATTTAAAAATGAAAAATCGAAAAATGTGTTCTATATACAAAATATTTATAAATAATATATAAATATATATACAGTATATGCATGCAAATATTTATTAATGCATGTGTGTGTAAAATAATTAAACACAGTACACACATATATTATGCAACCACAAAGTTGTATTTTAGTTGCGATGAGTTTCACAGCCCTAGATATAATCTTAAATGTGTGGTAAGAATAAAAAGATGATTGATTACGTCTCAGACACAGATATTATTCTGAAGTGTTGCCGAATTGTTTTAGTTGGTCGTTGATCAGACATTTTTTAAATGTTGCGACTTGTTTCAGAACGTCCAGATAACCTTCAAAAATACTTTTACATTTATTCATTTAGCAGACGCTTTTATCCCAATGAGAACAATAGAAGCAGTGCAACTAACAGTAGGACAACAATACGCAAGTGCTCTCGGTTTACTCTCTCTTTTTTTTTTTTTAAGAAACATAATGTTTGCAAAATAAATAAAATGGAATGTTTCCTTAACATTGGCATAACCAATACCAATAACCAAAAATGTCTTTAAAACATTTCATAACTGGATGTTTTGAACATTCAGAAAAAGAAATGTATTCATTACCAAATGGGAACATTAGCAAAACATTCAACTTCTGTTATCTGGGAAAGTGGTCTGCATGTCCTCGTCTGCAGAGCGCCCGTAAACAAGACCCAGCAGGCAAACCTGCATCATTTCCTCATCTAAGATCCTCAAACTGGGATGACCACAGTACTTTGTGACGTTCCTCTTTTTCATGCTAATGCGCCGTTAGGAGTAGTTCACTTAAAAAAAAAAAAAAAAAAAAACTTTTGCTGATAATTTACTCCACGTCCACGTCTTTCTTTCTTCAGTTATAATGGACTTCATTGGGAACCAAACGGTTCAAGGTCCAAATGAGAGTTTCAGTGCAGCTTCAAAGGGCTTTAAACGACACCAGACGATGAATAGCGGTCTTATCTAGGACCCTTTGAGTCATGACTCGAAAAAAGATTCGTTCATTTTGATGAACGAGTTCAAAC